ACTATGAAATAGATGGAATAGATGCAGCGCTAGAAGTATCGGTAGAACATTGGACAAAAACTCCTTAATAATGGGTTCGACAACTTACAACGCCCTTAAAATTTTTGAACTGGTTCGAGTGTCCCCTACTTTTTATCCGTTAACAAAAAAATAGCTGGAAATTCTCGTAACGTTGCCTTTCACTACGTTTACAGTTGAGAGGTCGTTTAGCAGTCTTCGAAGAATAAAAACATGATTGCAGAGTGCAATGGTCGAAGATCGCCTTAATGGGTTAGCTCTAATGAGCATTCATCGGAAACAAATATTACCAAAAAAGGAAGAGTTGTAGAGAAAGCTTTACAAGAATTTACAATTGATCCGCATAAATTGTTTAAATAATAGTGTTTAGGAACAGACAATTTATCTTACTTCACAAATCGAAGGCTTATCCAGGAGGAAATAAACTTGTTAAATTTGCATCACGTTTTTGTAAAAAATTGATATAAGGTTGAATGCTCGAATAAATGAACTTTGAAAAATTAAGGCAGATATCGAGCACAAATTTAATAATCAAATCTTGCCCAAGTACGTTCGCTTTCTACAGCATCATCAGGGGCATCTAAAATAAGCCAAGAAACGTTTTTTTAAATGAAGAAAGTTAATTATAGAGAAAGTAGAATCTTTCCTTTCAGATACTAATTTTGTAGTTTTGGAAAAAAAAACCACTTAACACCTTTATTCATAAAACAAAAGCAATGGTTAAATTGTTTAATGATACTATTTCTAAATATAACAACAGAAAGTTAACTGTATCTAATCCTATAACACCTAGGTTATATGGACTTCCTAAAATTCATAAACACAATTGTCCCATAAGGCCTGTTGTAAGTTTTTGCAACACTCCAGTTTCCATATTGTCAGAGTTTGTTTATAACACAATTCAGTCTATCACTAATTTTAAACCTAACTTCTCCATTACAAATTCTTTAGATCTAATAGAACGTTTAAATAACATTAAAATGGAAGAGAGTTTTTATTTAGTTTCTTTTGATGTTTCCAATTTGTTTACTTCTGTACCAAGAGATGAAACATTACCTTTAGTACACAACCTTTTAAACAATTGCAACATACCGGCTAAAGACAAAGATGCTATCTCAACTATGCTCAAATTCTGTCTTGATCAAGACTTCTTCCAATTCAATCAAAAGATATATACACAACCAACATGTTTAGCGATGGGATCTCCATTATCAGCTTTTCTAGCTGATATTTTTTTGGACACCTTAGAACAGAAATTTGTTAACAACACCAACAAAATGGTTTTTTGGTCAAGGTATGTTGCTGATTGTATAGCTCTCATACAAGGAACCCAAGATGATGCTTTACAGATTCTGGATTATCTTAATAACCTCCATCCTAACATCTCTTTTACATTGGAACCAGAATCTAACAATAAGTTGAACTTCTTGGATATGACTATATCTACAATATTTACAGAAAGCCCACCCAAACAGATCATGTTATACATGAGACATCTAACCATCTAACCCAACATAAAATGGCTGCTTTCAATAGTTATATTCACAGGTTACTCAAATTTCCACTTCCGAATGATAACTTTAATTTAGAACTTAACACTCTCAAGCAAATTGCTTTCAATAATGGATATAATCCCAAGATTATCCATAAGCTATTAAATAGAGCTTATGGATAATGCAGATTTTGGATAACTCAAAATTGCAGAAAAGCTTGCATATTCATCACAATATCTTCTTTAACCTAATGCTTCTAACAACATCAGATATTCCTATTTTACTTATATTAGCAACATTTCCAATAAAATAGCTAAACTTTTTACTTCTGCAATTGAAAACATCAAAATTTCCTTCAAGTCACACAACACTGTAGGTTCCTTTTTAACCAATACCAAAGATAGGTTGAACACACTTGATAAAAGTGGTATTTACAAATTGTAGAACCATTAGAAAGCTTTCTACCAGAATTTCAGAACATTTGAAAAGACAAACTCTTCAAGTTTTGGTCAACAGTTATTATCTAGTAAACACAATTTCAACATCAAACTATTTGGAGTTGGATTTATTGGAAGATTTGGAGATCACAAAGAAAACAGATGGAAACTTTCATTGTCTTAATACTCAAATTAATTTAAATTGTACTAAATTTAAATCTATTTTTAAAAATTTTATTGCAGCCTCACCTCGTAGTGGAACCAGCTCGGCTGTTTAGACTTCCTGCACTGAGTATATTCATTAATAATTTATTAATTTCATACTTTGATCAACATTAATATTGTATTCTTCAACAATTTACAAAACTAGCTTGCTCAGGTTCAATTGATCTATAGTTGGCGTTACACTCTTCATACCTCTGCGTAATTTAGATATACCAATTCCACAGCTGTATATTTCAACATCTCCCACTGTTGGTCAGTTGGTCTTTAGTAACGCTTTTACATATTAGTTTTACAGTTCTATCATTGGCTGTGGATTTAACTGAACTACTTGAATTATACCCCATTTATATACTGCTTTCAATTTTAATTTAATTTTTAATATTTCAATTTCATAGTCAATTTTCTTCTCGTTTTTACAGTATTGACAGTGCCTGGTAGACCATTTTATTGTAGTCAACCACCCACTGTCCAATAGATCGTTTGGTCTATTTCTTTCATTCACACTTTATGTCCACTTCATTTGCTTTCAAACTTACAACCTTATTATTACAGACGGGTGTGAGTGTGAGATCTGGATTATGCAATCTAGTTAAATCAAAATATTCTATGTCATATTTCATAAGCTGATTTTCTATAGTAGTGTCAGTTGGACCTTTGGTCTATGCCAGCTTACTTACACAGAATTTTAATATGTTCATATCACATATCCATGATTGTAACAGCCCATCAAAGCTGTCATATGTCACATGTAACCTTAGCATTTCCGTTAAATACCATTCTCCCTCCTGTTGCCGACAAGAATGTAGAGCGTAGAATAATTTTGTCCTTGTGTTAATGTAGTGTTATGTACAGTTTATGTCCAATTTCATGTTTATTACATTCTGCGCTTGCTGGAGAAGTAAGTCTAAAACTTTAATCACAAAAAACTTTTATCATCCATTTTCTTGGCTTATTTCAGATGCCCCTGATGATGCTGTAGAAAGCGAAAGTACTTGGGCAAGATTTGATTATTAAATTTGTGCTCGATATTTGCCTTAATTTTTCAAATTTTTTGTAAAAAGCATTAAACATTTAAATTACATTTAATTTGCTTCATTTTTGTATGAAGGCGTTAATTTATAATTTTTGCTCCAAAAACAACTTTTGGTTATTTTCAAAACAACTTTTCTGAGGGAAACCCCTTCCCCCTCACCCCTCTTAGTGAAGACTCACAATTTACGTCTATATTTATTATTGCTAACTAAGTATAACTGGCCTGAGGATTGGAGAAAGACCATAATCATACCTCTTCATATGAAAGGTTCAACAAATAATTGTAACAACTACAGGCTATTAGCTCTAATATCACACGCCAGTAAGGTGATCCTCTACATACTGCAACGGCGTCTAGAAAACCTCATAAGTTGGCAAATAGCACCTGAGCAGGCTGGATTTGTAAAGGGCAGAGGTACTAGAGAACAAATCCTTAATGTACGAAACATCATAGAAAAAGCCAGAGAATACCAGATCCCGATATTTATATGTTTCGTCGATTATACAAAGGCCTTTGATAATGTTAGATGGGACAAACTATGGAACATATTGACGACAATGGGTGTACCTAAACGCTTGACTCACATTATTAGCAAACTGTATCAAGATAACCTGGCATATATTCGAATGGACGGATATCTGTCTGACAAATGCACTTTGGAGAAGGGAGTACGCCAAGGATGCGTTTTATCTCCCTTATTATTTAACATCTATTCGGAGTTCATAATGCGCAGAGTTTTGGATGGTTGGGAGGGAGGAGTAAACCTAGGTGGTGTTAAGATATCTAACTTGCGTTTCGCAAACGACACTACACTTCTAGCCTCTACTCCAGAAGAAATTACTAAATTATTAAAAAAACTCGAGATAGAAAGTGCTAAATTTGGACTCATGGTTAACTACAACAAAACCAAAATCATGGTTATTGATCGTCAACAACAGTTTCCTGAAACCCAAACTATTGCGGGATGCGAGGTAGTCTCATCTATGATATATCTTGGAGCTCTAGTTAACAACACAGGCAGTTGTGAATCCGAAACTAGAAGACGCATTCAACTAGCAAGAGCAGCAATGAGTGAACTAAACGGGGTCTGGCGTGATCGTCACATTACTATGACAAACAAAAAGAGACTCATTTCAACTCTGGTCTTTTCCATATTTTACTATGCATGCGAGACATGGACAGTCAAAGAATCAGATCGACGACGCATAGACGCCTTTGAAATGTGGACATGGAGACGCCTGCTTCGAATTCCATGGACGGTTCGCCGTACAAATATCTCGGTTCTGGATGAAATTAAACCGGATCAGCGTCTCTCCAGTACCGTTTACTCTAGAATTTTAAAGTTCTTTGGCCATATCCATCGAAGTGATCACAAAATGGAGCGGTTGGTGGTCCAAGGAAGGCCTCAGACTTAACGCCAACGCGGAAGATCTCCACAGCGATGGGCGGACATTACTAAAAAGCTTCTCAATAAACAGTATACTGAGGCAATACATATAACTCATGACCGCGACCAGTGGAGAAATATTATCAATCAAACTGTCCGAGCTGCTGAAGCCCAATTATGAACCACAACACATCTACTAAGATGTTAATGACTGTGATGATGAACTAAGTATCCAATTTTATATTTCTCAAATCTACCCCCCTCCTATTTTTGATCCTACGGACGCCCATGAAAATAAGAGGTATTTTTATAAAAAAAATCGGGTTTTTTTTCCAAGAACTTATACCTAATTACGTTAAATTTTTTGAGAGAAACATTATTTTTAAAATACTTTTATAATGTTTTTATCACTTACCGAAAAAGTTTCTGTCATAAACGTCTTTAAGAAATTCCTCTCTAGTGGGTACTTTATTGAGAGGATAATGCAATCTTGATAAATTGACAATTAAATGGGAGTAATATATATCTAACAGTAGATCTAAATGGTCCAATTTTACGTTTGTGTCTGGACTCGATGATATATAGAAATGAAGATCAATAGCTGGACTTGTAAAAATTGCCATTTGAAAGTCAATCTAAAATACATATATACGTTATAATAAAAATACAGTAATGTGTGGAATATACGTCAGTTAAATGTGCTAGTGAATGAAAGTGCTACTATTTTATTTTTGTAATAACATGTTAAAGGTTGGCAAAATATTTTAAGAAAATTTATAGATAATAAAATTGTGATCTCTAACCAAATTAGCGCATTAACTATTGAAGTCAAATGTCCCGTCACTTGTTGGTTTTGCGAGAGTGAGAAACTTTGTCACGACTTCAAAACCAACTGATTTCGCTTTTTGATTCCTCTTTTGTGCTTAGCTTTTAAAATGTTAACCATAGTAGAAACCATAGTAACAAAAAAAGTTAAATATATCAAAAACTGATTTTTGATAACTTATTAATATTTATCAATTTTCAATAGCTTCCATTGTAAACCCATTCTGTGGGAAATAAAGATCATTATAAAGTCATTAAGAGAGCGAATTAGTTTTAATTTCCATTGTATACGCAAAGCAAACATGTCTCTTTGTCGATTTTTGCACTGGCCATTAGACTAAAAACTTGTTTATCAAAAACTATGAAAGCTCAGTTCTATTTCATTTTCGCAATCGGATGAAAATACCTACATCATGGACCCGTTACCAGTATCTGTCGTGAATTTCAAACAGGGTATAACTCTTAGTGTGCAAGTAAAACGTGTGCTGTTAAAGGTATTGAACCATTCATCATCATCATCAATGGTGCTACAGCCCTATGAAAGGGCCTCGACCTTCCCAAGTCTATTACGCCAGGCAGTCCTATCCATTGCCAACCGTTGCCAGTGTACTGCGCCTATCTTTCTACCATCCTCATCTACACCATCCTTCCATCTGAGTTTTGGCCTACCCCTTTTTCTACTTCCCACGGGTTGTGACATAAGGATTCTTCTAGGAGGGTTGTTCTGCTGTGATCTTGCTAGATGTCCTGCCCATCTTAGTCTTCCCATTCTTATAAGAGATACTACGTCTTTACCACCAAATATTTGTTTCTATCTGTGGTATACCTCGTAGTTGTATCTCCTCCTCCAAACACCATTTTCACAGATGCCACCAAATATTCCTCTCAGGATCCTTCATTCAAATATAAGCAGAAGGTCTTCGTCTGCCTTGGAGATGGTCCATGTCTCCGATCCATATGTCAACACTGACTATATAAGGGTTATGTATATAGTTATTTTTATTTTTTGGCTTAAGTTTCTACTTCTCATATGTCTACTCAGTCCAAAATAGCATCTGTTTGCCATTATTATCCTTCGCTTGATTTCTTCCGTTATGGCGTTCTCTTCGTGATCAGGGAGCCTAAGTATGTGAATTTGTCCACCACTTCAAAGGTAGAGTTATCAACCGTGAATTTGGGACCGATGTTTCTGACTCTATTGTTGGGTGTTGATGCCATCATCTTAGTTTTCTCCTCATTTACTTCCAGGCCCATAAATTTTGAGGCATTTGAGAAGGTGGTATATATTTCTTCTAGCTTGCGTGTTGTGTGGGCAACTAGGTCCACATCATCTGCATATGCCAAAATTTGTGATGATTTATTAAAAATATTTCCTCTGTTGTCTATTCGGGCATCTCTGATTGCCTTTTCCAGTGCTATGTTGAAAAGGAGACACGCCAGCGCGTCTCCCTGTCGCAGCCCAACATGCGTTCCAAACGCCTGTGATTGTTCGCCCTGTATTTCGACTTTGCAAACCACATTACGCATTGTAGCCTTAACCAATCTTATCAGTTTATCGGAGATGTAGAATTCATTCATGGCTTCATACAATTTATTTCTTAGGACACTATTATAGGCAGATTTGAAGTCTACAAAAAGATGGTATGTATCGATATTGAATTCATTGGTTTTTTCCAGTATTTGCCTTAGCACAAAGATCTGATCTGTTGTTGATCGACCAGGCCTAAAGCCACTTTGATATTCCCCGAGAAGTTCCTCTGAATATGCACTTAGGCGACCATATAAGATCCTCGAAAATATTTTGTATGCTGTATTAAGGAGGGTTATTCCCTTATAGTTTCTACATTCCAATTGGTCACCGTTTTGTGTAGCGGGCAAACGATTCCAATACACCACTCTTTCGGGGTTTGTTACTCATTCCAGGCTCTCAGTATTATTTTATATATTTGATTAGTCACAGTAGCACCTCCACATTTAATAAGTTCCGCGGGTATACCATCAGTTCCTGGAGACTTATTGTTTATTGTTTTTTAGGTGTTTTATTGCATCTCTTACTTCTTGAATTGACGGAGGCTCTAATGGTGAATTGTTGCTTGCTCCTGCGGGTGGTTGATTTGGATCCGGATCTTCTACTTATATAGTAAGTAGTTCTTTAAAGTTTTGTTAGCTGTTGTTTTAGTCTTACATTGATGTATTCTTCTGAGGTTTCTCCTGTCAGTTATTCTTTTTTAATCAGTTTCATAATTATAAGGTTTATCTTAGTCGACGAAACAAACATAAATGTATATTAAGTTTGCTAATTTTGCAATTTTCCATAAATTTATTGCACATATCTCTTCTTTAAATATGTCGCCCTTTATGTTTTACGTCATTTATACATTGTGCCTATTTGATTAGTTATTATTTATATATCTACAAATATGTAAACTTGACTACCTGATAAAATCTGATATTTTTTTGTTTTCACTTTATGCTGTCAGTCCAAATAAAAACCGTATACCTAAGTCATGTATGGTTTCAAAGTTATTGCTTTGAGGTTTGTTATTGTTTATTTGCCTAATTAAAAGCAAAAAGCTGCTTGATTATATTTGTCAATCCTTATCACTGGTTAATTGTTATGTTATGTTCGGCCGATATTTGAAATGTTCCGGCACATATAACATCAGCAAACATGAATGATTTAAAATCTATCCTCAACAATAAAGTTTAATTCCGTTGTAAAAAACATTATAATAGGCAATTTTACCACCTTAGTAGGAAACAATTATTTGATCAATCAAGTTTTATGGATATATTGTTTATATCCATATCTAAAGCAAATATTTAAGGTTAATATTTGCTCTAAATATGTACCGGATGGTCCAATAAGCCGATCTCTCGGCTATATATCAGAAACTATGCATGTTATAACTTTAGGAGAAAAAATTACTTAGTAAAAGTGAACAAGAGAAATAGCTGGAAATAACTTTCAAGTTTATGGGTTAACCGCTAGGGGGCGAAACTGTGAAGAAAACTTTGAAAACCAGTTTTTTGGAAAATGCGCCCAATTATACCAAGTGTTAAATAAATAAACTAGAAAAAGGCCTAAATTCTGAACAAATTTTTTCAAGTGCTTTTTTTATTTTTTCAAATGAAGGGTGGGGAGAGTGGGAAAATATTTGTGTATAAATACCTATAACTTTGGTTTGGATCAACCGATTTTAACAAAATTAGTGTTATTAGAAAGAGTGTGGATGAATTATCTTACATCTACTATAAAATAATTGCATTTAGTTTTAATTGTCATAGGTAGAGGGTACTTTCGAATAGGAAAAATTAAAATTTGTTTTTCTTTAAAATGTTTAATAGAAATACCTATTTATTGTAAATTATAATGGAACTGGATTAAATTGGTAACAAAATGGCGCAAACCGCATGTTAATAGCTTTTGTCGATCTCGAGATATGAATAAAAACGCATAAACATAAGTAAGTATAGTATTGACTCACCCTGTATTATAAATTAAATTAAAAAATAAGTCAGTAGGTACTTTCAAATTTTTTTATAGCAGAAGAATCTTAATTTTGATACCTATTTTGAACATTGTTATTTCATATGATTAAAAATAGTTTTTTCGAAACTAAGTAGGCTACGACAATGAATTTGACAGGGAGTTCATATTGTTTATTTATTGACAGCAGTCAAAACATTGTTAAGAAGTGTTATATTATAATTCGAATTGAAGATTGCACTTTTTTCAATAGATATTAATATTGGTAATAATAGTAACTAATTATCAGTACTAATAATTCGTGATGAGTCTATCAAATGCAGAATTGTATGATATGATTGAAGTTAATTTCGAATGTCACCAAAATGCCGCTATTGCCTCACGTATATATTATGTAAGATATCCTAACAGGAGACATTATGACAAAGAAGTATTTGAAAGAAAGGCAAGAAGATTAAGCGAAACTGGTAGTTTTCATCGTCCTTGTTTTAAACTACATAGTAGAGGTAGACAAAGCTGCTTCAAAAACTTCTTCTGTTGAAACTGTTAAAGTTCTGAACACGTCCATCAGTTGGACAGAAGACAACCGCCACAGCAGCGAGGAGATCATGATGCTGAGGCGTATAAGAGACAGAGCGTTTATCTTATGCCCACGCCCTCATTTCAATCCAAGATGCTGTTCTATCTTTTACTTTCACAAATTTTTACTACATTTTATATGGTTGACCCTTTTTTCTGTATTCTCAATAATTAAGTCGTACTTGCAGCTTAATACGCTTTCAAAACTCTTTTTATAATTTTCTGTAGAATTTGCCACAAAAACATAAATAAATGAAGTATTTTGTTATTAAAAATAATTGATAGGTATCTAATCAAAGAAAACTGTAAATTACTCTTTTTAACTTACAAATTTTACATCTGCAACACTTTTATCGGACCCATATTTTATCAGCATGTTGTTTACCCACGTATCTCCATGATTAAGAACGTGGAAACCACCTGGTTTTCTTTTACTAGCCTGAAACCCTCTCTCCATTGCTTGGTCACCTAACATTTTCAATTTTTGTCCGTACTGCTCAAAACCTTAAAAAGAAAATCAATAAAGGGGCCTTATTCTTTTATAATACAATTGTTTTACAAGTGGTATGTGAAGTATTATTTAATTTTTAAATGTTTTTGTTACTCTGTTATTAAATTTTATAGATAATTCTCTTACCTGGCCAAGTTAAACAAGCATCGGCAAGGGCTGAAAATCCATTCTTTACCCATTTTCTAACGAGTTCGTCAGCATCATTGTGTAACCCTGTACTGTAGCTTTTCATTATTGCTGGATTCTGTGAAACATATAAATACCTTTCGTATAATGAAAACTTAAATAGACATAATTATATCATTATCACCATAAAGACGTTTCATTCCAGATGGAATTTTTGCAGCTCTTAAGTTTGTTGTATGACTTGGCTTTCGTTACAATTTTCTTCCACTCATTTCGATCTGTGCATAGGTCTCTCCAGTTTCTCACTTTCAGGATGAAAGTGTGCTGAACTAACAGCGGCATATTAGAACAGCTACGCACATCAACTGCATTGTGTTGGGAATAGTTTCAATATTGGGTATCTTGAGTAAACTGATGGTAAATGTCGGACCCAGCACAAGTGGGAGAATACTGCTATGCTCGTTCATGAACTCTCTATACTCTTATACGAAGTGCAGCATAAATTGAGAGGAGGTTTTTAAGATGGAAAACGACTCCAAAATAAAAAAGTTTCAGAGAAACGCACTTGTTAGTGGGAAATAGATAATGTAAGAGTGAAAGCGATGTGTGAGTAGCAAATAAGATAGACAGATGACAAGAAGAAGTTCTGCTAGGTTCGTCGTCGCATCACTAACCTCAATAAATTAGTCGTATATGAGTATGAAGAGGGAAACTATCATGTAACTTGCATGTTCAGAGGACCAACTGTTTTTGCTTGGCTTCATACTATACTGCAAAACATACTTTTTTATATAAAGTTTGAATAAAAAAGACGTCAGTGTAGGTAGGCTTAGGTTAGACAATCACAGTGGAGGACCTTGTTGAATTGATGCTCTGTATTTAAATGAACTTATAGACAATATTGTATACTAACAAAGCAGTAGAGTAGAGTGAATGAGATAGTGGAGAGTGAGGTACAAGCATACAGAATTTTCATCCTATCTTCCATAATGTTTAAAGAAATTCCATCCATCTGGTACAGTTTGGATGGTGTTTTATGAAGATTTTCGCTCTTCTTAATAAACTGACGTAAAACAGTTGAATGTCAGAAGAGCCAATCTACTAACAAACGAATACAACTTACCGCCTACGCTGATGAGATTAACATCGTGTTCCGTAGAGTGGAAGAGGGGAAAGAAACATATTCACAATTGAAAGGAGTAGCCAAGCATATGGAATTTGAAATAAACATACAAAATATAGAAAAGTTTTACTTTGACGTTTTTTTATGTTGTTTTTGGTACGTAGATATGATTTTTCCAGAGTACCAGGATGTACCCATAATTATGTAAATTAAAAATAAATCTTCATAAATGCAGATATAAAATATTTACCTTTTTGTATGCAAGAATAGATCCTGCATGCAACTTTGCCATTTTCTCCATGACTTTAATTGATATTTCTAGGTTAAATCCAAGCTGCCTGGAAAGCATGTTGTAGCCACTTGCTGACAAATCTTCCATTACTATTAACGCATGTGGTGTAAGAGAAGTGTAATAGCACCTTGAACTAATTGTATTTTCATCCTCTACAACAAATATCATGTTGAGTATTACGAAAGCATCTTATTATTTTACATTTTTCTATAGAAAAGGAAAAAGCGACAGAACACAATATACTAATGCTGCTCTGTACCACGTGAATAAGTTTTTATTAAACTTTTTTATGTTAATTATTTTTTACTTTAATAAACTTGTCTCTATGAAAAGTTCCTTATTCTCTGGGATTTAGAGCTTTTCATAGAGCGTGGACATTTTACTGATTTTCTGAGCCGAGAACTTAACGTTGCTCTATTTTTAGAATCTTGGGTCTCGTTACGTACGAGAAATCCATTAACTGGTAATGAATCCACAACCAGGCTCCATTCGACATTGATGGACTAGTTTTATACAGTATCCATGCTCCACCATCTAATGGATAATTAGGAGACCTGATACCGCAGTGACACCAAAAACATTGTCAACTGTTCATACAGCAGCCCTACATCGAAAACAGTTTGGCAAGTTAAGTGTCAAATTTAACATTCACGCCTTCAGCCATATAATTTTTTGTTTGGAACTTCAGTCATTTTTTATGCATTCAGTCATCTTGTATAGGACTTGCTGTAACGTACAGATAAGCAGCCTGCCAGTTTATTCAATATGTTTGTTTAAATTTTTGTATTCTCTCTGTGATTATTCTTGATACCATTGTTTGTCTTAGCGATTAGCCGAATTACTTCTGAGAAGAGCTAGCAGGCTAGGTAACTCCATGATTGTCTTTGTGATGGTGAAGGGGAGATAAATTGGGTAAGGTTGACCTCCTTGCGATACTAAGTTATTCAAGGATTTCATGGCATAACCTATGTAGTTAGTACCTTACATAGAGGTGCCCAACGTGGGGAATACTGTTATTAGAATTTCTTAAACACCACATTGAAAGTTATAACTTAAGCTTACCAAGCACGAATATGACAATAAGAAGATAAGCTAGTCAGATAAACAACAAGGTTTCGTACTGGAAAATCGTGTATAGCAGTATTTTGTCATAAAGCAAATTGCCGAGAAATCACGAAAATCAGGAATTAATGAAAAATGTTTTTAATATAATGTTGCCGAGTGTTTGCGGATGAGGGTTCTTGAGCCTCATAGATCCCTACGGACTTAGTATGGTCTTCGAATTTCAACTATAGTGTGGATCTCCATGTTCGTTTTCCTTTGATTTAAAGGTAAGATATCGATTAGAGAAATTAGAATCAGAGTAATGATTTTATCATCGATAGAGTATCAGATGCAATCGGAATCAATAGAGTGATATAACAGTTATTTCGGTATCTCTACCTCGTCAGCACTTCGATCTGATTCCGATTCAAACCAAAAAATCCAACTAATATCTCCCAAATCTTCCCACTTTCATTAGTTGGAAGTTGAAAGTTTCACTGGAAGTGAAGTATTTGATCAATACTTCCTTCCAACAGTAAATTTACTAAGATGTAAATTGGAGCTGGAAAGTAAGATAATAGAACAATTGATAGAGTTTAAATATCTAGGCATCACATTATCTAGTTACGGAAAGCTGGAAACAGATGTTGAAGATCAAGTGAATAGAGCAAACAGAGCCGCTGGTTGCCTGAATGAAATAATATGGAGAAATAAAAATGTCGGGAAAAAAACGAAAGACAGAATTTACAAAACAGTTAGCAGATCAATAATGACACCACGGCAGAAACACAACATGACATACAAATGACAAAAAGGATGTTAGAAACAGCAGAAATAAAAATACTTTATGCAAAAAACAAACCAGAAAAATGTATGGCTATGCGACAGAGCTAGACGTACAGAGACGTAGATGCAAGGTTTAGAACATCAAGGATTGGGTAAGAAATATAAAAGCAGAATGGAACAATTATATACGCCGAATAACAACAAAAAGAGTAGTTAAGAGGGCAAAAGACGGTGTCACAGCCATTTGATAATTATTTTGTTTGTATACCGCTTTGAATGCTGAAGTTACAAAATCTCTTATTAAAATTCGAAGAAAGCTTTAGCTATAAAACCTTTTTAAATCATAACAATCTTTCCACTTGTCGGCAATAATTTTTGTATTTTATCGCCATCACTTCAATTTATTTTGTTTATTTTAACGCATAAGTGGTGTAATAAAAATTGATGAGGTTCTTACAGTTCACTAAGACTCTGAGCGCTGAACGGTCGTTGTATCCGTGGCGTAATATTGTTTAATTTTGTGTATGTATAGATTGATGCTTATAAGTGATAATTTTGTTACATCATTTTTTAAAAGCACGCGATATGTTTTGTTGGGAACTGGCAAATATAGATTTTCAATAATTTTGAAGTTTAATTTTATAAAATACGAACCGTGTATTTTATACGCAAATTCGGGTAGAATTGCGTTGGTACACACTTGACAGACGGTTCCTCGATAGGAAGACGATCAGTAGGAAGGCCATAAAAATTATGGAACGACATCCAATAACTGGAGGAATAATGAATGACAAACAAAGTCTTGTCTACATAAAAAGAAGATGAAGAATTGAAGAAGAAGAATATGAATATATAAGAAGAAGAATTGAAGAATATGCAATACTTACTACTAATGCAATACTTACTTAGCAAATTGTGAATTACAGTCAGAGTACTTTTATACATTTCAACTTCTTTATCAAACAAGTTCCAAACTTCTGCTAAATTTCGTTTTGTTCCATCTGCACTATTACATTTTACTATTACTGACAATAGTTCGATTTCCCTAAAAGACATTTGGTAAAGAAATCTAAAAAAACAAATGACGAAAAAGAGCACTATGATTACATACTTAAATAAACTTCTCTCACAATTGTGACATACAGCCATCGAGCAAAAAGACAAAAGAGGGAATCTAATCGTTATGAAAAGGAGACCAAAAAAGTGGCCTCTGATGGCGGACGTATCCGGAAATGCAAAGGCGCTAAATTTATATTTTTCGACACTTATTAACAATAGCTATAAAATATTTTTCAGACGAGAAAGTTTTAATTAAATATTAACGATAATAGTCTAAAATGTGACACAAATGGTAAGAAACTTCAATATAAATAAAATTTCATGTGACAGTTGGGACAAACAATAACATAACCAAATTAAATTTGATTTTATAAACAAGGAAAGAGACTGCCTTTCCTTGTTTAAAGTGGCCTCTCAAGATCGCACTTCCTGTCTAACAATATTTTTGCCCCCATTACCATTACATTCTCTCTATTGTCTTTTTGCTCGATGCATACAGCCCATCGAGCAAAAAGATAAAAGAGGAAATGTAAAGGTAGTGGGGACAAAAATATTGTTAGACAGAAAGTGCTATCTTGAGAGGCCACTTTAAACAAGGAAAGACAGTTTCTGTTCTTGTTTGAGAAGTCAAATTTAGTTTGGTTATGTTATTGTTGGTCCCAACTGTCACATGAAATTTTATTTATATGTATGAAGTTTTTTAGCAATTGTGTCACTTTTTAGACTATTATAGTTAATATTTAATTAAAACTTTCTCGTCTGAAAAATATTTTATAGCTATTGTTAATAAGTGTTGGAAAATTTAAATTTAGCGCCTTTGCATTTCCGGATACGTCCGCCATCAGAGGCCACTTTTTTGGTCTCCTTTTCATAACGATTAGATTCCCTCTTTTATCTTTTTGCTCGATGATACAGCCCTTCTGCCCAACATTAGTTTAAAGTGACCTAGATTTTCCGTTGCCATATGACAACGCTTGGCTCTAATGGGTTAGAACAGTGGTTGGCTGTATAGCCCTAATATAAAAAATAAAAAGGGAGTTTAAAATCTTCTTTTTGTAGAAGGTATATTTATATAACAGTACCCAATATAGGTTTAAAAAACCTAAAATTAATATTTTAATTCATAGATTAAATTAAAACTTATATATTCAACTGTAAGGGAACGTCTTGAGATTCTACTTGAAAAGAGGTAACCCTGAATGTGTGTAACTGTTACAACAGATGTAAGCCAACTCTGAGGAAGAGTCTCTGTAGATTGTCTTCGCTCTTTACAAGTTTGACATCGTCTGCATACCATACCATAGAGATAATAACTTCATTCATTTTATATTCTATACCTGTACATTAAGCTAAAGACAGTTAAAGGTACCACCATACCCAGTGAAAACTTATTTCCATTTATCAAATACTTAGTATATAATATAAAAATTTGAAAAACTTACCCCTTATTTTTTCTAAATGTAATAGTAGTTCTAAATATATCACTGGTGTAGTTTTCACCTGCTCCGCAAGCGTCTTTGGACGTGAATGATATAACATCAATCGTGTTGGCTTTAAAATAATTTGTCAGGATCTTCTGGAAGGTCTCCCTCGTTATCCAAGATGGCATAGACATTATTTTTTTTCTAACAAAATATACAGAATTACCTTACGAAATCAGAAGTTACAAAACTTTTTTGTACAAAACTTTTTTTGCAAAGTTTCTGACGTCGATTTTTGTTTAAAGTTTGCCATATTTTAAGATAATTAAAGATAGGGAAACAAGAATGAAAACCAATAAAGAAATAGAACAAATAATAACCAAAATAACCAAAACAATAAAAAAATCATAGTAAAACGCATAAAAGTAAGACGTCTGAAATAAGTAGAATATATAATGAGGAGAATACCTTCAGATATGATAAAAATAATTATGAATTGAATTCCACTAAAGGCAAGAAATGGTAGGAGGAAGAGCCAAGAAAATATTATGAAACCTGGTAGAAAAGAAGATAATAATAATAAAAATGGAAAAGAAAAAACTTGGAAGCCAAAATGTAGAAAAATAAAGAATTGAAAGCGCATAGAAATCACCTTGAACGCTTCTACGGAGATAAAGGTCCCGACTTAAAAAAACACTATAGCCATATATACATTTCCCCACTCACCTGTTTTGATTAAAAATCCTAGAAAAAGTATGGATGGTTGATACACTACAATGCTTGAAGTGCTTACCTGAATTTTTGGCACTTAATGTTAAAAACTTTAATTTGCCATTACCAAATTCATATATAGTAATGAGATAATTATGAATATATTAGAAGATAATTGCATATCGTAATAGTTATTGATTTTTAATGTTCTTTGCTTTATTTAGGTGACAACCAGCAATTAATAATTCCGTATATCATGCCCCAATTTAATTTGAGAAGATATGTACATAGATAAAAATATTAGACAGCAAATCGCACACCAGCTATATGCCTTCAATTAAAATATAGTTATTTTAAAATAAGTGAAACAATAATATTGTAATAGAAAAGTTTCCAACGCTGATTATCATCTTTGAGCATTCTATACCAAGTAGGTATATGTACCCTATCCAAAGGATTCTTATTCTCCACTTTATTTTATCAATAGTCTTTTCTAATATTCTTCTTCTTTGACTTTCTCGTTTACTCTAAGAGGTATCCATTACACAATCTTTTTTGGTATCCTTGTGTCGTTCATCCGTCTGTTCTTTCTAATAGTATGTTCATTTTATTTAACAGAGTTAAGTAAATATCATGAAATCGGTGATAGCATCCCTGGTATATCCAGAGAATTCAAAAATTCTATAGATAATTTACGCTAAACCCAATCAGAGAATAGCATGGAGTAGTGCTGACCAAGGACAGCAACAGAAGTATGAAGACATGGTAGACACGCAGAGTCTAAGATAATAGCTTCCACTAAGGAGAAGAGAATAAAAGAAATAATTAAAGACATGTGGGAGAAAATTAAAAATACTCTCTTGGAGGCAGCAGACCAAAGTATACAGAAAGAAAACCATAAACATAAAAAACCATGGATGACAAACGAAATATTACAAATTATGGAGAGGAGGCGAATAGTAAAAAACAAAAACCAAACAAGATACAAAAAATTCAACAGGGAAAAAAAATGTAGCTAAGGAAGAGTGGATGAAACAAAATTGTAAAGAGGTAGAAGATTTGCAAATAAAGCATAAAGATAGAGAACTACACAGAAAGTTAAAGAAGTAGCTGGAATATGGAAACCCCAACACTTATCAATTGTAACAAACAAGAAAAACCAAATGGAATTAGACCTTGAAAAACAGAAAGAAATATGGGAGCAATATCTTAAAGATTTGTTTGGTGATCAGAGAACAGAAGAACCTCCACAAATAGATACTGATGGAAAATTAAACATTCTCACCGAAGAGGTTTTGCAGGCAATAAAAGACGCAAAGAACAACAAGGCACCCGGCGAAGACCTAATAACCATCTTCCTAGAAAACAAAAAGCAAGGACATGTGAAGACCATCGAACTGTATCCCTAATGAGTCATGCCGCTAAGATTTTTATGCGAATAATTTATAACCGAATTCACAATAAGTGTTAGGAATAACTGAGTCGTTCTTAAAATGGTTTTAGAAAGGGTACAGGCACTAAAGAAGCAATTATGGAATTGACACCGATGGCAGAAAGGTATCTTGAGGTTCAAAAACGGCTGGATGTGTGCTTTGTCGATTATAGAAAGGACTTCGACCGCATCAAACACCAAAAATTGATTGAGGTGCTAAAAAAAGTAGGGTTGGACGGACACGATGTCGCCAATGGCAGATATCGGAATTTGCGATTGGTCAAATGGCAACAGTAATTGCAGCCAATCGTGATTCCAAAGTTTGCTGCTTAATTCGAATTTACCATTGGTCAAATGGCAACCTCATTTCAGCCAATGGTAATATCCGGAATTAAGCATTGGCTATCGTGCAGGTCCAATGGCTCAACAGCCAGAAAGACTGTTGGAACCGTTGACCCACTTACAAGCTACTGCTACCTGGTACAAGGATGGCTCAAAAACATCGGAGGGTGTGGGAGCCGGCATGGTAGGGACAAATCAAGAGATACATTGTTTAGTTCAGTTGCCATCTTCGCATATAGTCAGGCAGCGCTTAAGGCACGCAATTCTGTAGAGGTCAATACTAAGCTAGTATGGGGTTGTGTGTGTGTGCCCTAAATAAACTAAGAGACCGTAGCAAGGTTACGGTAGCCTGGGTATCGGGGCACGAGGGTCATAAGGGCAATGAAAAAGCAGATGAAATGGGCAAACAAGGCTCATCAATGCTATTCATTGGACCGGAACGCTTCTCCGGTGTAGCAAAGAAAGTAACAAGAACGGCTACAAGGAAGTGGGTAGCTCATAAATCTCTTCGCTAAAATTTACGGCAAACCTAATAAGCAAAGACAGGAAAACAGTCAAAGCCATAGTAGGTCTTCTAACAGGTTACTGTAAGCTGAATAGGAAGTTGAAGCTGATGAGATTATTAGATGGTGACCTGTGCAAATTTTGTCACCTCGAAGAAGAAACAGCAAAGCACATTCTATGTCAGTGTAACAGTTTGGATGTGCGGTTCTTTGCATTAAGGGAAGAAAATCCACCGGCAAATAGCTACATGGAAGGTACAGCCTACAAGCTATTAGACTTTTTAAAAAGGGTCAGGCTAGAGAATGTTATCTCGGACTAGAGGATCATAATAGATCTGAAAAGGTCGTAGCGGAATAGGCCAAAAAGCCACCTCTCTTAATCTATCTATCTATCTAAGGAGTATAGAAAAGTCAAAATTAATTAAACGATTTGCAATAAAAATACCGGAAGTAAAAATGGTAAATCAAAAAAAAGCATTGTTATGCACGTAGTTATGCAAAATGCTGAAAACAAAAAAATAAAGAATTGAATACGAGAACTTTTCTACAAAGAAAATGGAAATATAGTATACAAAGTCAATGTTGTATTAAATTATATCCAGTACATTTACAATTTTTGGAGGAACTTAATATAATATTACAAAATTACCTTCTATTAACACAACTTTGCACAAAACCAGCAAAACAGTACGTTTGATTTGTGGTATTACGCGGAAATATATACCTACCAATAAAGATTTGTTGCATGTCGCTTGCGTGACTTAAAATGCACTCATCAAATCATACGTTAAAATGCCTACAATTTCGTTAATTTTTGAGTTGAAAGTCAATTAGTATGAATTAAAAATAAAACAATATATATTTAAAATGACGGAGATTAGTTTTCCGGATGCTGCGGACAAGATAATAGTATAAATACTGAAATTCACTAAATGTCAGACACCTATGTAAATGAAACAATGCTGAATATAATTAAAATGACCCAGAGAAAATAACGCTGAGAATTTATTTGATCTAGTATAATTGATGAAGTTTTTCCGTAAAATCTTAAAACCAAACAAATACTCAAATTTATAATAAATGAACTTACAGAGAAGTAAAGACTTCTGGTGTATATTGTATTAAAAATATGTATAATTTATCATTACAATTCTTCAAAACGTTTTTGGTGTAATCGGACCATCATCAGTGAAACATTTTAAAAGAAGTTTTAACTAGCTACGAAAACAGGTGTAAAAACCTTTAAATTACATGATAATCATGGTTAATTGTAATAATATAATGACACGAGGTCGATGTTACAGGATTTCACATAAAGGGAACATACATCTTATCTCCTCAAAAGGAGAACGATTTTGTTTAACGGATAGTGTCAGCTAACCACTAGGATTTTACCCCTGTACTCTATTATATTAAATAAATAATAGTAATAAATAGTTAAGTGGTTATAGTAGCTGATAGTAGTTTATGTCATTCTGTTACAGATTTATTTTGTTCCTAAGCAAGAAAGAGTAAGAGAACTTTTCCTCTTCTAGAGCACTTCATTACTACAAGTTTGCGATCATTACATCAAAATCTTCCCAATTCAATCAAATCTTCGCCGCTAATTGTTGAATTACGAACGTTGATATTACCAAGCCATAACATTGTCCTTTTGTCTACTCCGCTTCGACATTCCATCTCTCCCTCAATTATTATTCGTAGCAGGTTATATTTGTCATTTCTCATTATATGGCCTAGATACAAAGTCTTTTTTTGAAGCGAAGCATCTGTACTTGCGTTGTATTACTTTTTTCTCTACAATCAAATGCTGAGGCGAGTGCCACGGAACTAGCGCCATAAAACGACAGCGACTGATATTCCCTGGCCAGCGCTGCCGTACGTCGGATATCTGGCGCTGGTATATTACTAGGAATTGGAAGCCATCTCATTGGAGCTGATGTAATGTTACCAGGTATATTCCAGATACCAGATTTAGTTGTATATCGATCTTGTTTACACGAGCTGGAACAACCGCTTGTTGTTCAAGCAAGCTCCGTTATTACATTGTTATGAGTTCTTAATTTACCAGCTATGTGTGTCGTCCGCAAACCGATTTGTTTCAGTTTTGTTGTTATTAGGGCGTAGTGGACACCATTTGAAGTAGTCGCAAAGAACCTTTAAGTCCTCGTACAAAGCCATTTCCCCCACTTCTTTGGGCTCGTTTTAGAATGTGTTAGGCGTTAGGTTTAGAATGTGTTAATTCATTATCATAGGCGGATTTTTTCGATTTTGTTTCAGTAAGGTAGGCTGAACGACGGAACAGGCCCCGAACCCTTATTCAGCTTTCTGACGTTACTGTTTCTTCTTCTTCATGTACCATGTCCTTTCAGAACGTTGGTTACCATCATAGCGATTTTAATTTTATTCACTGCCACTCTAAATAGCATGCTTGTATCAATAACATAAATTTCCCATTGCATAATATTTTGGAACATCTCATCACATGTCCGAAGTACTTCAGCTTTCTCTATGATGTTCTAGTATTATGAAGTTTCGAGTCTTCTCTACTCAAGAAACTTTTAAAGTAAGACCGAGAACACGTAGTAGCGAAGTAAGGGGATCCGCAATGTCAATTTTATGTCTGTTACATAATACCCTTCTAAAAGCAGCTCTGACTTGCTCAATTCTGGATCCGGTTTCACCATGGCTATCTGCGTTACAATTTAACTGATATCCAAGGTTAACAATTAAATCAACTTGCTCAAGTATGGTACTATTTACATAATATAAACGGTTTTATATTCTATTATTTGTTTATTGCGAGTATTTTGGTTTTCCGTGTGTTCAGATCCAGACCTGCTTCCTTACATCTCTCGACGACAATGTAAAGTAATGTTTGCAAATCTTCTTGAGTAGATGCTAGGAATACTGTATCGTCCGCATGTCGTAAATTATTGATGACTTCACCGTTCACAATTATTCCTTCTTGTTTTTCAGAAAGTGTAATTCTGAAAATTTTTTCGGAATAAATATAAAAGCGGGGACGACAACAGGCATCCCTACCATACTGATTTTAATATTAAGAGCCTGTGATTTCAATTCGTTTAGTAAAACAGATGTTGTTTAATTCCAATAAACATTTGCAATTATGCGAACGGCCCTGCCATCTAAGCCAATATCTCTTAAAACGTCGGTCAATATTGAATGCTTAATACGGTCAAATGCCTTCTGAAAGTCATTAAAACAACAGTATATGTCTACAGATATGTTACGACATCTTTCAGCAAGTACATTCATCCCAAACAACATCACTAACACTCTTTTTCAAAATTTAAACACTTTTTTGTCGATTTTTCTTTCATATACCTGATCCAGATAAACAAAAATAACGTTTAATTAAAAATATTTTATTAAGTAATATATTTTACAGCAAAGAAGAATAAAATAGTATTAACATGTATTAAAACTTAAAAATCAGTATGCCAGTACATTCAATAGTTAAACAATTCTTAAAACAAACTCAATATGCAAAAAATTTAAGTGCTTCACATTTGCTGAGTAGAATTTCCATTCCAAGTGTTATTTTCGTCGTCGTCGTCCTTTCTGTCACTTAGTCTGTGAACGTTTCCTTGGCGTTTAATGACTGTTGTTCCGTCGTTAACTCCTTTACGCTTAGTAGTACTAGTGCGGGCTCTAAAAAATAGATAATTATATAAAAATATGACCGACAACACAACAAAACTTGTAGATAGTAGTTAAATATTACGTTTATATGGGATTACCCCACAATTAATTGTAATGACAATTGAACAGCTTATTTCAGAAGGGGACCTGAGTCAGTTTTTTTTGTGTTAAGAGTTGATTCATTCACTATGATGGTAGGCACATCGAGTGTGGTAGAAAAGGACCCGATTTATTTTATTAATAGAGAAATCGTATGGCGTACCTTTCGTTAACTACAGAAAAGGACCCAAGTCAGTGACAGGTACTTTTCTGCAATAAAGTAGCAAGTTGGCAAACCTGCATCTTACTGATATTATTGTTGTTTGAGGTTATGCTGCAGTGTGGAATACTATTGGGAACGATTAGGAATTTAATGATTAATTAGAGGCGATATTGGTTAATTTGAAAACATTTTACTTTTTTTTTTTCAAGAATAAGTGATAGTGACAATGACAGGCATTCACGATGCCTGAAGTCTGAAACAGAAACGGAGAAAAAGTGTTGCTTCAAAAATGTAGAACAATATAAAAGAAACGTTGTAAAACGTGCTCGTATTTTTGGACAAGAATACATTGATTATGGTGGAAAACCAAAACAAGCGAAAATAACCAGATCACCTTGCAGGTAAAGTTCTTTACAATGTAATATTCAATGTTATCAAAGTTGTCAGAGCTAGTTGTTTTTTCACAGAAAGTGTTAGTACAATTTTAGAATGATCAATAACCTCTAAACTACAGCTAAACTACTATCTAGTCCCTTATAACCAACTAAGTATTTTCTTCTTCTGTTGTAGGTGTCTCAAAAAAATACTGTACACAATTTGACGATGTTGAAAAAGGCAATATTTTTAGTGTGTTGTATAGTATGAATCTAACTCAAAAATGAAGTAAGAGAGGCTATCAACAAGCTCAAATATAACAAAGCACCAGGTCCAGATATGATAACAGCAGAAATGCTTAAAGTCACAGAAGAAACCGGCGTAAAGTTACTTCATCTACTCTGTAACCAAATATGACATTCCAAACAATGGCCTGAAGACTGGACAAAATCTACAATAACGACCATACATAAAAAAGGCAGCTTCCATAAATGAGACAATTATAGAACTATCTCTCTTATATCCCATGTCAGTAAGATAATGCTACATAATATAATTAATGAGAGACTGAAAACATTCCTTCAAAGAGAAATTCCACAAGAGCAAACTGAATTTACCAAAGGTAGAGGCACTCGAAAACACCTGCTGAATATAAGACAGATAATCGAAAAATCTAGGGAATTCAACATCCCACTATACATCTGTTTTATAGATTACCGTAAAGCGATCGACAGGGTCAAGTGGGGACACTTATGGCGAATACTAAAAGAAGTAGGCGTACCACAACATCTAATTACGCTTATATCTGAACTATATGAACACACTACTGGATCAGTTAAAGTACTTGACACACTTTCGAACGAGTTTCATCCAGAACGGGGTGTCAGACAAGGATGTATACTATCTCCACAATTATTCAACATATATGGGGAGTATATTATGCGAAGAGCACTTGAAGGATGGGAAAAGGGCATTTCAATAAATGGTCATAAACTAAACAACCTACGTTTCGCAGATGACACAGCTCTTCTTGCAAATAGTCAAGCAGAGCTGATGGAACTTATACGACTGATCGAAAACGAAAGTCAAATATTTGGTCTGCAATTAAATATATCAAAGACAAAGATCATGATAGTGGATAGACTACACAACAATCATCCACACTTAACCACAATTGACCGGTTCGAGGTTGTGAGCTCATACTTATATCTGGGATCATTAATCACAAACACAGGGTCATTACAAGAAGAGATTAAACGTAGATGTGACCTAGCAAAAGTTGCCACAGCAAAAATGACCAAAATATGGAAGGACTGTCAAATTTCAAGAGCGATAAAGATGAGGTTGATCAACTGCTTAATATTCCCAATACTGACCTACGGATGTGAATCTTGGACTCTGAGACAATCGGAGAGAAGAAAGATAGACGCCACTGAAATTTTCTGTTGGAGACGAATGTTACGAATTCCTTGGACCGACCGTAGAACAAATAATTCAATTTTAAGAAAGCTAAAAGTTAGCCAACGACTCTCTAGTAAAGTCCATCTCCAACAATTAAAATATTTTGGGCATGTTATGAGAGCAAACACAGAAAACATGGAAAGACTCATAATACAAGGAAAGGTAGAAGGCCGAAGATCACGAGGAAGATCCCCAACAAGATGAATAGATCAAATTACAGGAATATGCCAAAGACCTATGCATGAATTAAAAGAAATGACCAGAGACAGAGATCTCTGGAATCGGACAATACACGACATCACGTCGACCACTACACTCCCCCTGGGGGGTCAGGATTGAAGAGAGAGATAGTATGAATACTAAAAACGAACAACACATTCACTTGCAGATAATGATTGACTTAACATAAGTTAAACAGCATCGAGCTTGTCAACCAGACGCTACATTGAAGGAACACTCATTCACGTATCATGTCCTTCTGGCAGATAGGAAGGTACCGGTTTGTATGGAAGGATTCTTTAGATTCTACGACATAAGTGACAAAACTTCCTTTGGCTGGAAAAAAGCCACAAAATTTACGAGGAAAAAACAAGTGGTAATAAAATATGTGAAAGTGAAACTGTCAAAGTACACAATCATATTAGTTCCTTTCGAACAAGAGAAGGGCATTATAAAGATGTTTTATACCTAAGTGAACGTTTGTCAATTCAAAGAATGCATGAACTATTCCGTGAAACGTATCCTGAAAGTTTTATTAAGTATAGTTTTTATCATAAGTACTTTAAGGAAAACTTTAATTTTAGATTTGGCCGGCCGCGTAGTGATACATGTAACGTTTTCAAGAAAAAAAATAAACGTATCAAAGACCCTAGATTTAATGAAACTGCAAAAAAGGTTTCTGCAGCAGAACTAATGGTGCACAAACGTCGAGCCAAACGATTTTATTCATCATTGGCGAATTATAAAGAATTATCAAAACAAAATGATTTTGATTTGATTTTATGCAAAATGTAGATTTACCAAAAGTTCCAGTGCAAGAGATGAACTACCTTCGACCTTTTTGTGTTTACAATTTAAAAACTGACAACGCTCAGTTTTACTTATATCACGAAGGCCAAGCAAAAAAAGGAGCAAATGATGTAGTTTCTTTTCTTATAGACTACATTGAAGAAAATTTTCCAGATTCAGTAACTGAATTTCATTTATTTATTGACAATTTTCCGGGTCAGAATAAAAATCATACTGTGATTCGGGTCTTCTTAACTCTTACTAACAACGGCCGGTTCAAAACAATTAAACATTTCTTCCCTCTTAGAGGGCATTCATTCTTGCCCTGTGATAGGAAATTTAGCATCATAACACACCCATTAGACATTGCAGCCGAATATACACGAGATATCAGCTGCATGAATTGATTTGCTCTGCTATTGCTCTGCTCTTGCCACAAATCTAAAAATACTGTCAAAACTCATAAACACGGGAAGTATAATCGATTTTGATAATTGGTGGCATCACGTATACACGAAGAGTTCAACTGAGAGTACTGCTATTTAATGGAGAAAGCGAGAATATTTCAATACGTCAAAGTATCATTACTTTGAATATTCTTCTGGCAACAACGGTAATATTAAAACATCGGAGTTTATTCATACACTCAATGCTGATGATAATGCTGCTTGCTACTATAGTAGTTTCAATGTTAGTAAAGTTGACCCACAAACCATTCAGCTTCCTAAAGCACAAGGTTATACTTCTCGAATGCTACCTTTAAAGAAAAAAAATTGGGGACCTTAAGAAAGCTGTAAAGTACGTTCACCATGAATTTGAAGATTTCTATGTAGATATTATAAATTTTTCAGAGCAGAATCATTAGAATATAGGTGTTAATAGTAACTTGTAGCAATGTTTAGTGTTTTAGCAATATACGCTGTAGAATACTTCGGCCATATAATTAGAGGACCTAAATACCATCTACTTCGCCTTATAATACAAGGAAAAGTGGAAGGAAAGAGATGGATTGGTCGAAAGAAACTTTCATGGCTACGTAATATTAGATAATGGTGTGGTTCCACAGTAGAAGAATTATTTCGCGCAGCAGCCTACAGAGAAAGGTTTCAGGAAATTGTAAACATGATGACGGCCAACGTCTGAATACGGACACGGCACCCAAAGAAGAAGAATATACGCTGTAATGTGTTATAATGTCGAACATGAAAATAATATTATTAAATTGGAAATTATTAGTTCTGATCTAATTGTATAGATGTAGTTGACTTAAGAAAAAATTATCATGGCACAAAACTAAGGATTTTCATATCTAGATAGTTTTTTGCATATTTCTCGAAAGTTACATAGTTAAATGGAAAATAAAAGTATTTTAATGTCAAATATTTAATTCCTAGCTGACCGCTTTCGGCTAAGAAGCCATCGTCAGAGCTATGGTCAAAAATTAAAAAAAAACACCACTAAAGAGGGAGATTTTAACTGTATGTATAAATGACATTGTTAAGTTGTAAGCTTGATAGATGTACTCACGCCGTTTTAAATGTTAATATTGATAGACAAAACAAATTATGAATTTTTAAAGGTGAAAAAGCTATCTTGGCAAAAAAGGCCTTGAAAAACCTTTTTTTATGTGAAAAATTGTCAGTAACACGAATACACAAACAGCATTTCAAATTTTTTAATCTCGCAACGTTATTAAAAAAGCAAGTTATAAACAAATTAGAACAATTTTCAAACGACATTTTGAAGAGGAGTTTAATTGAAATTTTGATTTCGCAATGCATTTGTCAAAAATATACATAAAAAATGTGACCTTCTACAAGTTTATACTCTACCACTATGATATAAGACTGCTGATATACTTATATTACAATCAAGTAGCCTCTAACCAAATTGGAGGCAGTCCGACTGAAAAAATATTAATCAAACGTGGAGTACGGCAGGGTTGTGTTTTGTCACCCACTCTTTTTAATCTGTACTCTGAAGAAATCTTTAGGGAGGCTTTGGATGACAGACAAGAGGGGGTAAGACTAGGTGGAGAAGTAATCAACAATATTAGATACGCTGACGATACAGCCATTCTTGCAGAAAATTTACAAGATCTCCAAACATTACTAAATCTAGTAGGTGAAGCAAGTTAGAGGCCTTAAAATCAACATTTCAAAGACAAAGTGGATGGCAGTTTAAAAGATCAATATAGATCAAGGTCTGATTTATCTTAATGGAGAGGAGATCGAAAGGGTAAATCATTTCAAATACCTTGGCAACTGGTTAAATGTAAATTGTGACTCTGATGAAGAGATAATAACCAGGATCGAGATATCACGTAGGCTTTTATGACGAGGAAACCAGTTTTATGCAACAGAAACCTGTCGATGAATGTTCGTAAGAAGGTCCTGAAATATTATGTGTGGTCCATCCTATTGTATGGTTATGAGATATGGACGTTACAAACCACAATGCTAAACAAGTTAGAAGCATTCAAATTGTGGTGCTATAGACCAATCCTAAAGATATCGTGGGTTTCGCACACTTCCAATGAAGATGTTCTTCAAATGATCAATTCAGAACGTCTGCTCATAAACACCATAAAGAGGAGAAAAACAGAATACTTCGGCGATGTAATTAGAGGACCTAAATCTACTTCGACTTATAATACAAGGAAAAGTGGAAGGAAATAGATGGATTGGTCGAAAGAAACTTTCATGGCTGCGTAATATTAGACAATGGTGTGGTTCCACAGTAGAAGAAATATTTCTCGCAGCAGCAGACAGAGAAAGGTTTCAGAAAATTGTAAACATGATGACACGATGATGGCCAACGTCTGAATACAGGCAGGGAACCCAAAGAAGAACACTCTATCGACAACAACCGCGTTTTTGCAATTGAAGAAATAATATTTAATAAACAAATTAAACTGGTAACTTTATACTGGTAACAATGAAACTTTTCCTGAAAAATAAAATGTTTATAATGCTTCTTTATAATGCAAATAATATTTTTTTCCAATTTTGCTTTTCAAGCTTTATTTATAATTTATTATTTAAATAAATTAAGGATCAAATTTAATTTAGCAAGTCTTAAACAAAGCTTTTCCCTTCAACTTGATCAGAGTAGAAGTTATTTTTAAAAAGTGTATAAACTATTACTATATGTGCACATTAAAATGTGTCTGGTCTCAAAGTAAAATTTCAAAAACCGCCTGTGTTCCTCAGAATTAAGAAGTTGAAGAATTTTAAGCTTCATTAACTCCACTAGTGGAAGCGACTTTTACCTTCTGCTTAAAAAAAATTACTTAGTATACTTACGTTGTTGGTGTTCTCCGTGCTGGTTCATTTGGTGGCGGCCTGGTAGTATTTCTAGAACCAGATCCAAACACCAAATTCTTAAAGAATCCCAAGATGCTAAATATCGGAGACCATATGCCCCACCAAAGAATCGAAATGATTCCGGGTTCTGAATTAGTGGAGACTTCTCCACCATTTGTAGGCAACACTAAGAGATTGGCGTTCGGAACTAACTCCAGATCTAACAAAGTAGTAGGATAATCCTTTGATGTATATTCCCTCCTTGGAAAAGTGGTAGCTAAATTAAAACTACTAAGAGTAATATTCAAGTTTGACCTAAGGAAAGAAACGACGTATTCCAAAGTATCAGACACTTCAAACTCTTGAGTAACACTCGTGCCATCGGGTAATTTAAATTGCAGTCTTGTGATGTTTGAATCGAGTTTGGGTGGAGATGGTGCCTTGGGAGCTTCGGGGGCTTTAGGGGGAGTCACTTGATTCCTCGCTAGTCTTTCGGCACGATCTTGGGCTATTTGCGCCAATACACGATCTCTTGCCATTTGATTCTCGCGCTTCTCCCTATCCCTTTCCTCTTTTAACTGTTTTAGCTCTTGATCTTCCTGCCATTTTTTTAGTTGTTGTACATTTTGGCCCATCTTTCTGCGCTCTAACTCCTTCAAACGTTCATTCTAAAAGAAAATGCGTAACGATAAATTTAATTACTTAACATTTTAAATTTTTATGTCAAACAAACGTTAATTATAGGTATTTGACGTACGACGTAATTTTTAAGGTTATTTTAATTATAAACAAAACCGAATTAGATAAGCTGTTCCCATTACAGTCTTTGTAAATTTTTGACAGAATTGAATTACAGAAAATTCACAACAATTTAAAAAATTATGTAATTATTTTAATTGTTGAAATTTTAATTAGTTAAAAAGTTTTTTAAAGATTAGTTATGTAAGCTATTGTAAAATCTTGGATTATTTACAAGGATTGGCACAAAAGAAGTGTACAAGATAATACAAAATATTCACTTTTGAATTTTCTGGTGTCACTAACAGAATAACTAATTAGGAATTAGGAAGATCGAAATCAAATGTAAAAAGGCGAATAAGTGGCCGTTCTGGAAGAATATCTAAACGACAGAACCCGATGATTAACCCATTAGTGTCTAGCGTTACAATTATGTAACGGCAAAGTGGTGCCATCTAAATAGATCCTCTGTTGCATACGTCGCAAATTTTCAATCGAAAACAGGTCAGTTCTTGTCAGAAGGTTATACTGTTTACATCGTTTGAAGTGTGCTATTTTATTAGAACTTTGTTTTGAGTTTGTGCCTCGATAAAGTATAACTAAACAAATAAAGCTTCAAATAATGGACTTCGTCGATAAAGACTAAGTATATAAATCTCATTTTGTATAATAACGTTAATATTAGAAACCAAATAGTAAAAGTAAATATAAATACATATTTTTTGTGTAAAAAAGCTTTGATATTTTTTCAAATAAAAAAGTTGCTAGGTTAGGAAGTTGACTGTTACATATTTGTAACGCTAGGATGTAATGTAAACATATTGTACAGTTATTTTGTACGGATGTATTACGTATTTTGTTTTCATTGTATGGTATTTTTAATAATATTTTTCGAAATATTAGTATACAGAGTGTTTATAGGACTTCAGGAAATTTAAGAATGCAGTATGTACCTACCAAGTTGTTTTTTTTATTTCAGAGGCCTTGCTGCAGTTCTTCAAAGAGGCCTGACTGTTCAAGAAGCTATCGATATAGTCTTTGGAGAATACGACGGGATAGATGACTCTATAGAGGCAGTTTATATAGCGCCACCGGATCCGGCTACTCGGACGGATGAGGATTCCGGATATGAGGACGAGGGCGGAGATTTGGACAATTTGAGCAAACGTCAGCTACTTGCCGATGCAGAAGTTAGGACTACTAATGGAATTATACTGGGAGAAGATGATTCTATTCAACCGCCAGAATCGACAGAAGGTAACATTTCTTTGACAAATAATGATATCGATATTACACCTGCTCATATGGTTTATCCAAAAGTTTCTGCAGCCCGGGATTGGGTTTCGGGAGATTTCACATATAACGAGAGACAATTTCCTGAGTCAGATTATTCACTGTTTGAAAACAAATCAGTTGTAGATATATTCGAAATGTTCATAGATGAAGAAATCATTTTATTTTTGGTACAGGAAACAAACCAATATGCTACTTTTAACAACCTACCCGACCCAGGAGTCTCGCCAGAGGAAATGAAATGTTTTATTGCTATACTGATTCTCAGTGGTTATAATGATCTTCCCAGCAAACGTATGTATTGGGAGGAAAGACAGGTTCAGAAAGTATTTTGTTCCTGAAAAAGATCTGGCTTTTGATGAAAGTATGGTCAAATATTACGGTAAACATAGCTGCAAGCAATTTTTAAGAGCCAAACCCATACGATTTGGTTATAAAGTTTGGTGCCTAAATACAGTGATGGGCTATTTGATTGATTTCGAGATATATCAAGGAAAATCTGTAACTCCTGATATTGACATAGAAAGAAACTTTGAAAAAGCGGCAGCACCACTGGTGAAAATGATAGAAGAACTACCTGATAATCTGAAATCGTTTCCATTCTCATTTTACTTTGCCAAATTTATTTACTACATTCAGTTTATTGTCTTATTTACGTTTAAAAGGATACGGAGGCACGGGGACTATAAGAGAAAATCGTTTACCTAGGAGCTGCCCTTTATTGGTAAAAAAAGATCTTCACAAACAGGAAAGGGGATATTATGAAAGTGCTATTAGTAAGACAGATGCTGCACTAGTAGCTAAGTGGGCCGACAATTCCGTAGTTTGCATTGCTTCCAATAAATATGGTATCAACCCAATAACAAATGTTAGACGTTATTCGCAAAAAGAAAAAAAACACATACAAGTTAGCAGACCAGCAGTATTTGCAGCATATAACAAAAAAATGGGTGGTACTGATCGAATGGATCAGAACGTTGGACAGTACAGGATTCAAATTAGAAAGAGGAAATGGTACTGGGCATTGTTTTCATGGCTTCTTGATGTTTCAGTCAATAACACGTGGTGTTTGTATCGAAAATCAAACAACTCTCAGATGTCCCAAATAGATTTTCGAAGGGCTATCGTGAAAGTTTATTTGAAGAAATATTCGACACCGCCCAAAGGCACTGGCAGAACTCCATCTCCATCTTCTAATGCGCAAAGAGCAGCCGATGAAGTTAGATATGATAGGATGGACCACCTAGTGGCTAAAATTCCAAACGACAAAAGAAGGCGCTGTGCTGGAACATCTTGCAAAATTTCAACACGCACGATATGTAGGAAATGTAACGTAGGTCTTTGTATCGATTGTTTCGTTACCTATCATACAAACCAAAATGTTTAAATTCCATTTTCTTTATTTTCCGTATTTAAATAAATAAAACTGTTTGCAGTTATATTTTGTATTTTTTGCACCCATTAGCTCCTAGCGTTACATATATGTAACGTCATATATTGAGTGATCTATAAATCCGAATGCACAAATTCATTTATTTTTATGTTTTTTAATCAAACTGCTCCCAAAAAAATATTAGCATCACATTAAAAACTGGAAAAAAATAATCTGGGCACTAATGGGTTAACGTTGGAGACGTTAATAGATAAATAGAAACTGGAACTACGACTGGTAGACTCCTGTAAGCTCGGTCTCTGCTTAGTTTGGCCGCCTCTCTGAGCATTAGTCACTCACTTTTCGAGCGCCAGCCACACGCGAGTAGGCAGAAGAATTGTTTGACAATAACTATTTTGCGTAATGTATTAAACTGGTTTTAAAATAAGTGAAACGAGTAAACATAAGTACAATGGAGCAGAGACTACAACTCTGGAAAGATTGGACAAAGGAGAATACGTGCAAAGTATTTGCAGGGATTTAAACGTGGGCAAAAGTACAATCAACGACTTGCGGTGAATAGAAAAAACCCCGAAGGCTTTTATATACACACTGAGAAAAGCAAGACACGAATTAGTGGAAGATGCTCTGTGGTTGTGGTTCGTTCAAGAAAAAAGACGAGGAACTGTGTTAAGTGGACCAACCCTAAAAGAGAAAACTATGATCTCAAATACACTCAAAGCTTCAACCAGAAGAGGCCTGCTTGGCTAGTTTAGGATGGCTCTCCCGATGAAAAAATAAACACGGAGTCCATTTTATTGCAGTTTGTGGTGAGAAGCTATCAGTAGACCCACCAATTTTTTTTTCAAATTTTAAAAAATCATTGGTAACCAAAACTTGAGCCCAGAGCAAAAATACAACATTGACGACACTAGGGTAAATTTTAAACTTCTGCCCAAAAAAACCTTTGCCACCCCGCAAGAAACATCTGCTGTAGGGTTTAAAGTCAGTAAAGAAAGGATAATGGTCAACTTGTGTTCAAATGCCTCTGAGACACACAAGATACACCTATTTGACATTGGCACAGCAGCAAAACCGAGAGCGTTTAAGAACATAAAAAAGATGAAAACTCTTAATGTATTATTGGTAGCAGAAATCAGCATGGATTGACACTTATTTGTTCAGGGAATGGTTTGTTTGAATTTGTTTCGAAAGCAAAAAAAATATTTGACAAAGTCAAAACTGCCCATCAAATCACTTATACTTGACAACGCGCCTACTAACCAGAAAGTCTTTAGTGTGACGATGAAAAAGAAATTAAACTTCTCTTCCTGCTACCCAATGTAACCATTTTTTAACAGCCAATAGACCAAGGAGACATTCAGTGATTTAACGGAAAATATCACCGAAAACTGCTGAAATATCTGCCGAAAGTTCTTTTCAAACTAGAGGCAACTTAGACCTCGTAAAGGCATACGACAACATACCAGCGTCGACGTTTGTAAAGTCTTGGAAAAAACTTTGGCCAAATATAGAAGACTTACCAAGCAAACACAACAGCAGATTAGCCAAACAACATTCTTGTTAACGAACTTGATGACAATGCAGCTTTATTGTACAACTTTCAACAACTACTGAACTGTAGTCCCATTGTTGAAGATGTTTTGGAGTGAATCAACTTGAAAAATGAGCTACACAACCAGGAAAATTAGAAGGATAACGACGCAGATGCTGCTAAGAGTAAAGGGGAAAATTAAAAAAATAAAATGAGCCACGCTGAAGGCAAAGTAGCTTTGCAACTGGCGGCTACCTACATAGTTAGTACACATGGTTAGTAAGCAAAACCCAACAACCACCACAGCAACTGATATTAGACAATGAAAGAATTGAAAAGGTGATTCGTACATCTACTTGGGAACAACAGTTAACTCAAATTGGGATCAAGCGAAGGAAATACGTATAAGAGTAGAAAAGGCAAGAGCATCGTTCACTAGCATGAAGCAAATTTTCACCTCTAAAAGCCTCACCCTACCTCTCAAAATTCGACTTCTGAAATGTTATGTATTCCCCGTTTTGTTATATTGAATGGAGGCGTGGACAATGACCGCAACATTGATGAAAAAAGTAGAGGTCTTCGAAATGTGGGCTTACCGACGTATATTACGTATATCCTGGACTGAGCACGTGACCAACGAAGAGGTACTACGCCGGATAGGTAAAGAGAGAGAGGTAGGAATAAGTATAAAGAAAAGAAAGTTAGAATACTTGGGTCACGTTACGAGACATAATAAATATAGAGTACTACAGCTGATCGTTCAAGGGAAAATAGACAGCAGAAGGAGTCCAGGGAGGAGAAGACACTCGTGGCTCCAAAACTTGCGGCAATGATTCGGATTGTCATCTGCTGAACTATTCAGATCTGCCGTAAACAAAGTCAGAATAGTCATGTTGATTGCCAACGTTCGGAACGGACAAGCCACATGAAGAAGAAGAAGGCTACCTACATCGAAGAGCAAAAAGAAGCAACTGCCATTGGTATAATCATTATTAAAAAATGGCGTGACTTTGGATATAAATGATTTTTTTAAAGTGTTAACGCAGCTAAATCAACAATGTACAGTAATATTGAAAAAAATTATTAGGCCCTGAGTTTTGTAAATATTATTTTGTAGTATTTTTGTAACCTTGTGTCTTTTCATATGTGTAAAGATATGTCAGAGAATTCCAATGTTCTGTATTCTACTTAATGTGTAAGTGTTTTGTTTTTGCTAGATCCTTACAAACAATAAATGAGCATTTTTTAGATAGGCATCGATTAGTTAGGCTACTTTTAAGTTCGGCATAGAGTCCAGTCACAGTACAGCGTCCAATGTGCCTCTATGCTAAAATTGTTTTTTACCACATCATACATAAGAAGAATGTTTTTTTTTTGTCTAGTGTACTTTTTTTATTTTGAATATAAGTTTGTTTCTAAACTGATGGGATTTATTTATCCCACTATTCAACACTAATGGGACATATATGTCCCATGTACTTTCTAAAGATACAAGGGCATGCAACAATATAAAAAAATTAATCGCTTTGTTAGGTCTTTAGGTATGAACCAATATCATTAAAGTCATTTTAAACAGTTTTATTTAGCTACAATGAAATCAGTAATGAAAGGGTTAAAACAACTTACCTCTTCTTCTTCCTTCTGTTTCTCCTTCCTTATTAAGTCAATCAGTTCTTTGGCTCTCCTTACTTTTTCTTCACCTGACAATTCTGCTTCTGTCTCCTCTTTAGTGTCTGTAGTTCCTTTTTCTGTTGTTTTAACTTCTTTAGATTCTTTATCTACCTTAACTTCTTCTTTATCTACCTTAACTTCTTCTTTATCTACCTTAGCTTCTTTATCCTCCTTAGTTTCCTCGGCTGTCGTAACTTCTTTATCATTCCTACTCTCTGCATTCACTTCTTTTGCTGGTTCTGTAAGCGTTTCTGACGGACTCGGTTGCTCTGCAGGAGGTTTATCTTCGGATGATTTATTAACCTCTGTTTCGGAAGGGCTGGGTTCGTCTTCGGGGGGACTTTCTTCAGATGTATTAAGAGCATTATTATCGACTCGTGGTCCTTCACCAGCTTGTTCATGTGCGAGGAAGTTTTCTGATAGAACTGAAGCTTAAAAATAGATTAAAATAGACATATGAAGCACAAGTAAAATGTAATTTTAAGTTCGTAGTGTAATTAAAAGAAGCGTTTTATAACTATGTGGCCTCACATGTTCATGTCCATCTTGGAATGTCCATATGATTCTATAGAATCATATTTATATTTATAAGTTAAATTTGACAGTAATATTTTGAAAAAAATATACAGACACAGCAAGGACTACATTCGTGTTGATAATATGTTATCAGAAGTTATATTTTCAACTAAAGCGTTAAGAAAATATGCAGTCTATCTCGTCTATTCTTTAATCTTTATTTAGAAAGAATTTTACATTAGTGGAGACGTAGCCACGCCGGTATGGGGATACTGCTGGCGACTAGGTGTGGGAATGCGGCATTAGCTTTTTAAATCTCCTAATAGATATGATTTGACGGTCTAGAGCGGTATGGTGGTCTGTTTTTGGCAGTACGTAATTCACATTTAATATCTACTAGGATTTTGTCAATAATAGAATATAGTGAGTTAACAGCAAGAATATAGTACTCTGATTTAAAAGATCATTTTATCCATCATCAGGATTTAAACCATCATCTGTTTGATAAACGTATTACGGGCTTTCATAAGTCAAACTATACTCTGTCCTCTTGAGAATGACAGCACGAATTCTCTAATATACTGAATCGGCAAATCCTTCGTTTTCGTTTTATGTTAACCCTCGAACCTATTGTATCAGCAACCTGAATCTCATAATACAGGGAGGATAGAATAAAAGATAACGAGTAAAGACACATTTCTAATGGAGAAATGATTAGGAGTCACTTTAATTTTTTGAACGATCCTCTAGTGTTTCATACACATTGTTGATTTTATAATGAGGTGCTGTGCTATCAAGCTCAAGTCGACAGAATATAAACAAGTGATTTTTGCTTATCTCAATCAGTTTTTAAAAAGGAAATCATCGAGTATAAAATGGGAGATTTATCGAGATAGACATATCGGGAGAAATCGGGAGATGAAAAAAGATAAAGAAATACTCAACACTATAAAGAAAGGGAAAATGAGCTACTTTGGTAACAAACTAAGATACAAGAAATACGAATTGATGCGGCTGGTCATACAATTGAAGGTGGAAGGTAAAAGAGGACCGGAGAGAAGACGCATGTCCTGGTTGAAGAATCTGAGACAATGGAGTGGGAAAACGTCAATAGAACTTTTCAGAACGGCTGCAGATAGAGTCAAATGGGCCATTATGATCGCCAATGTCCTTAGAAATGGGGAACGTTAAGAAGAAGATCGGGAGAAAAACAATTCTCCAAGATGATCATTAAGCCCGCATCTTAAAATCAATAAATAAGAATATAATTTAGTGCTTTTTTAGTTCTTTTGATATTGACCTTCTTCAAATTGAATAAATAAATCAAAAACTTACCTGAAATAGAATGGACTGGGCCTGTACTGAATCCTGCCCTGTTCAAGACATCATCCACTTTAGCAGAAACTGTGTCTAAATTAGTATTTCCGGTAATAATATCTAAGGGAACGCCCTTCTGACCAATAAAGTATATCGAGGGTACACTCGGTTCTTTATCTAAGGTAATTATAAGGAAAAACTTTAAAACAATTCATGTATAAATCTGAAGAGAAAACTTTCACACACAGGAGCAATAATGGCAATAGTTTTTCCATAATTGTCATTATGGATAATTATTTTTTGTACGTGGAAACAAATAATTGAGAGAAACGAAAAAATATTAAGCAAATATTAAGTGTCTGTTGTAAAATAATAATTTGAATAATCTACTTTCAATTTAATACATTTAAGAAATAAATTACTCGTGATTTATTTAATGCCTAATTAGAATGAATTAACAAAAAGTTGAGAAATGCGATGAAATACTGCACAAACTGTCATTATAAATACAAATAATAAAAACATCCAAATATAGTAAAACCTCGATATAACGGACCTCTATTTAACGGACGTCGGATATAACGGACAAATAATCCGGTCAAATGGAAAAAAATAAAAACATACTGTTAAACGAATGAAATTGGCTCGTAAAACTTCAATGGAAGTAGCGATCTTAAAATAGTATGTCCAACAACGTTCTAATGGGATTGCGGTCCGAGCAGGCAAATTGAAATCTGCTGTAATTAAATTAGCAAATCATATGGACATACCATTCAGAGCAAGTAATGGATGGCTCTGGCGCTTTCGCGAAAGGCATGGAATCGTGAATAAAAGAATAGATTTAGACGGGTTGAAAGTTACTGATTTCTGTAGGACAATACATAATAATGCCGAAGAACATGTAGCTGAGGAAGCTGTTTTACAATGACTAGAAGTAGATGAAGGTAACCCTGGGTATAACATCATAACTGAAAGTGAAATAGCAGATGAAGTTATGAACCTAAAAAATAAAGATGGAAGTGAAGATAGCGAACAAGACGACAGAACAAGGCGGTTAAAAATGAATCGTAAGATCGTATCTCGACAATCTAATAACATTTAAGTGATTATTCATCAAATAGTTAAACTGTAATTTTCGTAATTTTAGAGAGTTGATCATAAAAAAAAACAGCAAACATCGAAAGTGAAACTAAACGGGATTACCGACAGCAAGCGCGTCGATGTCCACAGCAACGTCACTTCACCACGAATGTCCGAAGACAATTAAATAGAATTTTGTTTATATTTTGTATTATCTGTATTATCTAAATACAATGTACATACATTTTCATTTTCAAAAAAAGCATTTTGATTTATTTTAAACATATTTTTATATAACGGACTTTCGTCTTTAACGGACACCCCGTCCCCCAAGAAGTCTTTTATATCGAGGTTTTACTGTATTTAACATTTAAAATTATTTCCGAACCCAAATTAAAATTTACTGCCGGGGTATAACTAGTTCGCCTCCCCTTGGTCCACCCTAGACAAGATAAATGTACTAGCATATCTGGCAATAAAACAATGTTTACGATCTGCTGGTATCTTACACATCCAAGCACAATTTATGAACAAACTAAAGGATCGTCTTAAAGCCACATGACTAAATGTCTCGGACTACTGGCAAAGTATGCAATTTAGATAGTAACCTAACCTAACCTATGCTGAGAACGAAGCTCAGCTATAACGTAGTACCAGAATTGTGGAATAAGACATAGCCAGAGGTTCTCAAAGTGCGCAAATTGGCAGAAATCTGGGTATTTGAAAAGAAAATGTAGTGAATCTACATCTGAATCATCTGCATCAAGGTATAGCCGACAAGGCCGAAGAAACCTTCAAACGTCGAGCTTCATTTATTGAAGGTTTGCACATTGCAAAAGCTAGAAAACCCCATACCATTGCCGTGGAACTGGCAAATGCATGTTAGGTCCAGATATAACCAAGAAGATTGATAATGTGCAGATAAGCACTACAATCAAGAGAATTCACACTATTTCAGACTTTGTAGAGAGAGAGCTTATAAATAGATTAAAAACTTATAAATTCTTCAGTTTACAACTTGATGAAAGTACTGTGAAGTTTATATAGTTCTAATTTATATGTCTTTATTCTAATTTATTGTCTATAATCTAATTTATTAAAACTCACGATAACTAATTACGAATTTATTAAAGTCTTTATTAATCCTAATTACAAATAATTTATTAACGTTTCGTTACATCTAAATATCGCGGTTCGCGAGCTTCTTATCACTGACTGCCAAATAAAAATCTTTCATTTATATACACAACTGTTGTCATCCAGAGAATTCGGCGGACTTCTTGAATAGCCTCGTATTTTGGTGAAGGCGCTCGACTCGTTTTTCAACCTCGAGACGTGGATGATTCACCAAAATTAGTGTCTAGAGATTTCTGGTAAACAACTGGTAGCTAAGCTCAGGTATATTTTGACCTACAAATTACGAGAATCAATAAAAAGAATTAGTCATAAAATATTTACAGTTCTATATGCCATAACATTTAAAATCGTAACATTGCCCCCCTCTTAAAAGATGGTTCCTCCTGGAACCTTGTCGGGACTGGAACTGGAACGACATGCTGATATCGGCAACTGGACCCTCTTTTACAACTTCCAGTTGTATAGAAATGACAAGGGACGGTTTTCTCTCCGCAGCAGTAACTATGCGGATTGCAACAGACTAACACCTGGACTTCGGTGTCTTTAAAGACTTCCTCCACCATGTTTCGTATAACCCTCCAATCTAATTGGCGGCACTCCAACTTTGGCATGGCTAACTTTTGCACGTCGGACTCTAGTACGTGCTCTCTCAACTGAAGTAAGGCTTCCCATACATCTCGGTAGGTAGGTTGGTCACGGGCAGTGTCTTTTGTTACCAGGTAGAAAAGGTAACGTGATGCATCTTGAAGTTTCAAGATTTTACCAGGAGCTGGCACTTGGCATTGAAGTTCTGCAACTCGACCAAACTTCCTTCGAAAGACGGATGCCAACCCTGGTGCATCTTTGATACTGGCCGGGATGGTAAGGGCCAGTGAGTAGTCATCGGGAAGCGCGAGTAGATCTTGCCTTTCTTCAGTGGTAACACCATGTCTTGCTTTACCGGTACCTCCATAGGCACCCATGAATTCCTCAAACGTGAGGTCGGACACATCTTGGACTTGGTTTACTTCCACTTCTTCATCTACGTCGTGGTCACCCTCGAAAGACGCCAGCCGGTTATGGTGTACTATCATCGGCTTTCCTCTCGGAATCTTGCTTATTCGGTAAATAACATCATTGATCTTCTCCATAATGAGGTATGGACCTTCCCAAAACTGCTGCAATTTGGGAGAACAACCTTTTCGCTTTTTGGGGTTATAAAGCCAGACTTTATCGTTCTTCTTAAAACACCCCTTTTCGGCTTGCGTATCGTACCGTTTCTTCATTCGGTCACTAGCGATCTGGAGATGGGAACGGACCAACTCGTGTACATCGTCCATTCTTCTTCGTAATTCGATCACATAATCTTCACCTGCTACATCTTCTCCAGGTCGACACCCAAACTCTAGATCACAAGGTAGTCGCATCTCGCGTCCGAATAGGACTTTGGCTGGTGTCTGGCCTGTTGATTCATTAACAGCAGATCTGTAGGCCATTGTGAAGAACGGGAGATATTGGTCCCAGTCTCGCTGATGATCGGACACCATCTTTGTCAAATACTTGCCAACTGTTCTATTCATTCGTTCTACCATACCATCCGATTGCGGATGATAAGCCGTAGTCCTTGTTTTCTTCATACCTAGTCTATCACATATTCCTTGGAATAAATCGCTTTCGAAGTTCCTGCCTTGGTCACTATGGATCTCCAAAGGCACTCCAAATCGGCTGATATATTCTTGGATCAACTTATCTGCAACGGTGGCCGCCTTCTGGTCTGGAAGTGCGTAAATCTCGACCCACTTAGTGAAGTAATCCATTACTACCAACATGTACTTGCCTCCATTATCACTTTCTGGAAACGGCCCAGCAATGTCCAAAGCTATTCTTTCAAACGGGCTTCCAACGTTATATTGTCTCATAGGAGCTCTCCTTTTTCGATAAGGCCCGTTACTCGTAGCACAAATAGTACATTTCTTACACCAGTCTTTTACATCGTCGGAACTGTTCATCCAATAAAACCGTTCCCGAATTCGCTGAAGGGTCTTCTTCACACCAAAATGCCCTCCTGATGGACTGTCGTGTAACTGACGAAGTACTTCGGCTATTCTGCTCTTTGGAATCACCAACTGTCTTCTCTTCTCTGAACCGTCATCATTTTCCAGGACTCGTTTGAGCAAGCCATCTTCCATGATAAATGAGTCCCACTGGGCCCAATACGTCTTAACTACTGAGCCTAGGTTCGATATTTCTTGCCAAGGTGGTCGACGGTTTTCCTCTTTCCATTTTCGGATTTTCTGTATAACTGGATCTCTCTCTTGTTCTTCCCTGATCTTGGTAGGCGTCCAGTCGTCGTGGACCACCGTCGTTCTTAGCACTGCTGCTTCCTTGGATTCCGTTTTGTTGCAGTGAGAACACTCTGCTGGGCATGGCCTTCTGGAAAGAGAATCAGCGTTTCGGTGGCTAACTCCGGCCCGGTGCTCAATCTTAAAATCATATTCTTGGAGTCGTTCGATCCACCTGGCTATCTGACCCTCTGGATTCTTAAACTGCATCAACCACTTAAGGGCGGCATGGTCGGTTCGGATTAAAAACTTCCTTCCATAGAGGTATTGATAGAAGTGCTCTACTGATTTCACTACTGCCAGAAGTTCTCTTCTCGTGACGCAATAATTCCGCTCAGGTTTTGAGAGAACTTTACTGAAATATCCAAGGACTCTTTCCTGTCCTCCCTGAATCTGGGACAGCACTCCTCCAATTCCCACATTACTTGCATCTGTATCTAAGATGAACTCTCCTTCTGGCAGTGGATACCCTAAAATCGGTGCTGTGATTAAATGCTTTTTTAAGGTCTCAAAGGCATTTTGGCAGTCTACATCCCAGCGGTATTCTCTTGCTTCCTCTGTAAGTCGCGTTAATGGTTTAGCGATATCTGCAAACTTCTTAATAAACCTCCGGTAATAAGTACATAGTCCAAGAAAACT